GGGTTATGCAGCAGGACAATGATCCCAAACACACCAGCAAGTCCACCTCTGAATGGCTCAAGAAAAACAAAATGAAGGTTTTGGAATGGCCAAGTCAAAGTCCAGACTTAAATCCAATTGAGATGCTGTGGCATGACCTTAAACAGTCCTTTCATGCTCGAAAACCCCCCAATGTGGCTGAATTAAAACAATTCTGCAAAGAAGAGTGGGCCAAAATTCCTCCACAGCGACATGAAAGACTCATTGCCAGTTAATGCAAACGCTTGATTGCAGTTGTTGCTGCAAAGGGTGGCACAACCAGTTATTAGATTTAGGGGCAATTACTTTTTCAAGTAGTGCCAGGCAGGTTTGGACAGCTTTTTTTCCCTTAATAAATGAAATCATTATTTCAAAACTGCATTTTGTATTTACTCGGGTTATCTTTGTGTAATATTAGTTTGATGATCTGAATCATTAAAGTGTGACAAATATGCAAAAAAACCCCCCCAAAAAACAGGAAGGGGGCAAAAACTTTTTCACACCACTGTATATATATAGATCAGTGGTTACAACCAGGCACTTACAATAGAAGTTAATATTGCCAATCCATTATTGTTAAAATACTCACTGATATAGACTCATTAATGTAGACACAAGACGCAATAAATATGCATGGTATTATGATTTAAGTGCAAAAAATCTCTTACCTTATAAAACGGTTAGTTCCAGTCCTCGCTTCTGATTGGTCAACAGCTGTGTTTTATTCACGATAAAGCACAGCTATGACCGCTTCACCCAACCAGTAAATATCCTCCCATAAAATAGTTTTAAAAACATCCAGCATTTTTAAACAAACTCAAAACAAAAAGCTTTCTGTCCAGCATTTTATTTTTAAACACACTAAATAATGTTCTGTATACCCTAGGGCCTAGGCCTTGTTCTAATTTTCTGTCATGTTATTGTTGAAGTACTTCAACTCTTGCAAATGTGACCCTGGACCACAAAACCAGAATTAAGTCGCACAGGTATATTTGCAGCAATAGTCGACAATACATTGTATGTGTCAAAATGATCAATTTTTCTTTTATGCCAAAAATCATTAGAATATTAAGTAAAGATCATGTTCCATGAAGATATTTTGTAAATTTCCTACCGTAAATATACCAAAACTTAATTTATGATTAGTAATATGCATTGCTAAGGACTTCATTTGGACAAATTTAAAGGCAATTTTCTCAATATTTCGATTTTTTTTGCACCCTCAGATTCAGATTTTCAAATAGTTGTATCTCGGCCAAATATTGTCCTATCCCAGTGGTTCTCAAACCTCTCCATGAAGTACCCCCAGCACTGCACGTTTTGTATGTCTCCCTATATCTGACACACCCACTTCAGGTCTTGCAGTCTCCACTAATGAGCTGATGAGTTGAATCAGGTGTGATAGATGAGGGAGACATACAAAATGTGCAGGGCTGGGGGTAGGCTACTCCAGGACAGGTTTGAGAACCACTGTCCTATCCTAACAAACCATACATCAATGGAAAGATTATTTATTCAGCTTTCTGGTGATGTATAAAGTTTTCTAGTTTTGACTGGTTTTGTGGTCCATGGTCACAAATAAAAATAAATAAATAAACAAACAAACACCTTGTCGCCCCCTATTGGCGTTTCGATGTAATCTATAGAAAGGGTCAATGAACTTCTCAGCGAGTGATTCTTTTTCGTAAACTGATTCAAATGAGTCGAGTCACTGAGATGATTCAAATCCCCACTACTGCTCTGAACGCTACCTCGGTGGGCGGATCGAAGCACAATTTGTCCCATACTCCTCCCATCATCACGTTGCGCACATGGCGTAGGATGTGACTGCGCCACACCCAGCTGAGCCTGAACTGCAGATCGCAGGGACTCGCTTGTGTAATAGTTGGGGGCTACCAGTGGCACGGAGCTCATGCTGCTGCTCCACTGATGTGCCTCCCCCCCTCATGTCCCACTAACAGCAGAAGACGGGCGGCGCATGAGCGAGAGCCTTTTACGCGTTTGTACGATTAACGAACAATACGTGCATTTACAACTCCCTGTGCGCTGTGACCAAAGTCAACACTGAGACATTCTATCCGCCTGTTTAAAATGGGCTTGTTTTTATTTATCGCTGGATCTGCCAACCCCACCGAGGCCACTGTCTATGAGGTGAGAAAAGTCTTGTTCAGATGTCTTCAGCCGGTTGTTTGTGTCAAACTTTATTTATACTGTTGGGCTTTGAATGCACGCTGCGGGCTCTACCACTTTTTGACTCTCCGATTGAACATTAATGTGCATCTTTTATCCACAGTTTGTAGCGCATGCTAACTTAACAGCGTTCAACTTTCGTTTTATTTCTTTTGCAATCTGATACATCTGTTTGTTACAAGTCTTGCGTGCTAACCAATAGTCTTGCGTCAGGTCACGGAATTGTGGGACTGTGTTGGTTGCTTACTTTGCAGCATGTTTGGACGTAACATGATGGCCAAAATGCTGTCTATATAAGACACCTACTACCTAGGTTTTTGAGACACGGCCTAAGAGTAAGTCTGGGCCAAGTTAAGTAAACAAAAGTCTACAGTGTTAGCAGTTGCTAACAATTCAACTGTCACACATTTCAAGATTAATGGGCAAAATTTAAACTAGAATAAACTATCAATAGATTATGTTGTGAATATAAATGAATCAGTGTGTGTGCAAAATAACAATTTAAGTTAAATATAACTGTTGATTCAACCGTTAAGATGAAGCAGTCATTAATCTACAAACGTAAACAGGCTGTATGTTTACGTATGATGTGTTTCTGCTTTACAAAGGTCTATGGATTTTGTTATCATTGGTGAAGACGGTGCTAATCTCTCTGTCTGTAGTTCAAAGAAGTGAATTCATCAATAAAGTGTGCTTAGTGATTTTTTCCCCCTCCTGATTTGCGATCAGAGTTAGTACAATGTAGGTTTTTATCTATGCTTTCTGTTACAGCAAACTTAAGTTTGCGCCATACTCAGTTTTATTCAAATATATGCAAATATATATTTTGATAGTATCAAGGTGTCTAGAGCATTTTCTATTCCATTTAGTACAAATAGATCTCCTTCATATTAAAGTAATTTTTCCTACATAAAGTGATGTAATTCACATTTTATAGAGCAGGATAAACAGAATATCAGTACAGTAGGCCCTATAGTTTGCATAGTTAGGCTACATAAACAATTATGTAGACTGTGTTGTGTATAGAGATACTGGTGTATTTTGTTGTTGTTGTTGTCTACTGGTTCTGAGGTCCAAATTATAATTTTATTTAATTTATTGGATGTAACTGAAGTTCAAAAAGAAATATACAATGTTTGTTTCACTTTTAGTGAAAGAGAAGAGTCTTTCCAAAAGGACATGAGCAGGTTCTGGTGGTCTTGTAGGCCTTTATCGGTTTGAAGTTCCTACAGGTAGAGGTTGCTGGGGTCAGTGATCCTTTTTGTCATTCAAGTTTTGTCAAGTTGTTTGTCTTTTTACATGGGTATCACTATAGAGTTTGGGTTAGCTGTCAGTCTTGGGGTTTTGTCAGTGCATACAGTAAATGCAAAGTCAAGCAAAAGGTCTGGGTCTGTGCGGGAGAGAAGAAGAACACACACACACACACAATTCTTTATAATTAAACAGGGCTCCAGACTAACATTTGAGAGCAGTGGCACCAGCGCCACTAAGTTCTACAGATGGTGGCACCAGGAGCGGATTTGGTAGCGCTGGGGCTGGTGTGAGGGAGTATTAAAATATAGATAATTTAATCATAAAATTACTATTGTTTTGCATTAATAAGTGCAGTTACTAATAATATTACATGTTCATTTCTTGTTTATTTTTCTAATTTTTGTTTATACAGATTTGACAGTAAAGCACTTGAGTTAAGATGCATACAACATTTACTTTTATTAACAACAGTAATAGGTGCAAAATCTAATTTTTATATAGAAAATTGATATATTCCACTCTTATTAAATGCCATGCAGAATAACCATTATTCTTCTAGTATATGATATGTCAGCGCTGTTTATAACAGAGAATTCTGTGCAGAATTTGAATGATTCTCACTAGATCTCGCAGCACTGTTGCATTTGTGCAGTAATAGTGCCACGAAATCAACTTTGGCTCCCGAGTAAAACTGTTCTGAGCTCAGACAAGTTTGTTTGCGTCGCGGTCCGAGCTGATAAACGGTCCGCGCTGCTCAGCTGAAATGTAGCACGGTTTATTTTCGCTTTCGTTTGATGTTTCTCAAATGCAACAAAAATGGCAGCGCTTATGAGTTGGACAACACGGTGGTCGCGCCAGTGCAACCGCTCACAAAAACTAGTCGCACCGGCAGAAAAAATGGTCGCAGTCTGGAGCCCTGTTAAAGATGCTTCCAAACTGGTTTATAAAGTAGTATAACAAAATTGGCTTCCATAAAAAGTGGTGGGTACATAAAATGTATTTTTTACTATATAGCAGTGATCCTCAAATCTGGCTCCCGAGATCCTCTTTCCTGCAGAGTTTAGCTCTACCCTAATCAAACACACATGAGTTTGCTAATCAATGTCTTCAGGATCATTAGAAAATCACAGGTAGGTTTGTTTGATTATAGGGTTGGAGCTAAACTCTGCAGGAAAGTGGACATTGATTAGCAAGCTCCGGTGTGTTTGATTAGGGTAGAGCTAAACTCTTCAGGAAAGTGGATCTCGCGAGCCAGATTTGAGGATCACTGCTATATAGGAATAGTCAGCATATAGAATTGCTGTATATGCTATGCGGTTCCTTGAAACTTAATAAGCTATTGGCGTTTAATAATATTGAAACGTGGTACTATAAAGACATGGCTCAAACACCTGTAAATCACTCACAGGATAATGACAATACTGAAGTAGGTTAACTACATACTGTCTGTAGTTTCCATCAGATGACCACATAACCTGAAGATAAACCTCACTCCCCAGGTGCAAAGAATTCTGCTGTTTTGCTGAATTGTTCTGTTCTGAGAGTATTGTGTAATACCGTGTGCTTTTGTTCCTCCCTCCCAAAAAGACTCTTGAGTTTTAGCTGACTCGGTGTTAGTATTCATCTCTTGTGTTATTTATTAAGATATTTGACATTGCTGAAGAGAATGAAAGCTGGGATTAATATTACACACCGCTGGCCAAGTTAATCAACTGCTGTTAAGTGGCCATAGCCAGTTCAGGTACAGGATTATCATATTATCATATGCTGTCACTGATACTCCACTTCTCACTAAGACTGTGGAAAGCTAGTCAAGTATCGTTATTAGACAGGCCAACATTATCTGCCGCTTTCAGCAGCTTCTCATTATAACCTATTAAACTTGAATTAGTTTCTAATATAATGTTCTCCGGCACCGAAACCGGATATGGACAGTGTCCACAGCTGCAAAGAATTAGTTCAATTTGCTATGGTCTACATGCGTCACTCTCAAATGTTACATGTTTTCGGAAACTTAAAAAAATAAATAAAAATCATACATAAAAATGAAATGCCATTTATTTGAAAGAAGGCATATTTTCCAGGCAAAACCATGAAAAAAAAGTACAACAAAGTAGGTGTACCTGGATGACAAACTGTGTTCATATAGTTATGTGATGAACCCCACTCTTAAAATAAAGGTTCCTTATTGGCATTCATGGTTCCATAAAGAACCTTTAACATCAATGGACCGTTTCCATTGCACAAAAGGTTCTTTATAGAGGAAAAAGTTTCATCTGATTATTAATTCACACTAAGAAAAAAAGGGTTCTTATTCTCTGAATGATTTATTTATTAATTTATTTATTTTTTGGAGAATCCAAAATGGTTCTTCTGCGGCATCACTGCAAAAAAACCCTTTTGGAAGCTTGATTTTTCAAGAGTGTGTCTGTGTGTGGCTACTCTGCTAGGACACTTGTGTGAACTTGAGACTTCATACATAAAATACTTAAAATGACCTTGACACCATTTGGTTGAGGGTAATTGCAAAAATGGGTCAAAAGCAGAATTGGTTCTGAGAAAAGGTCTTGCGTCAGTTGTTTGCAGATTCCACATGGCTTGATATTTAGTATTCAGTGGAATGTGATTCGTTGTGTTTGGCTTAAGTGTCCAAATACTTTTTTTGGGGGTCACTGTGTGCTTAATAATATCCAGAAACAGTATGTCCAGTCTCATGTTGCAGAGTCAGCATTGGTTAAGTGCGGATATTTGTGGTTAGTGATAAATGATACAGTGCTGTGACAGTCCTCGAAAAGAATGTTCTCAAGGATGAGGCACAGGGTCATGGGGCTACACTTGACCTGCTCAGCAGAATGAAGACATTTCTGGAATTCTGTGTCTACTTTGGTCTTGAATCTGGACTGCTATGGTTTATGGTGGACAGCTTAGTAATCACCAGTGGTGTATAAAGTACCTGAAAGCCATACTCAAGTAAAAGTACAGATATCTTACCAGAAAATGACTTTGGTAGAAGTTGAAGTCACCGTTTAGAATATTACTTGAGTAAAAGTCTTAAAGTATGTGATATTTATTGTACTTAAGTACAAAAAGTATTTTTAAAATCTTAAACGTACTTAAGTATTGAAAGTAAAAGTACAAGTAAATGCAAAATGGAAAAGAAGCAAATAAATATATATAAAAAATATTCATACACAGTAGGGCTGTTAAAAAATAATTCGAATTTCGAATATTCGTTGAATTTAAAATAAAAATCCACATTTGAATGCAAAAACTTTAGGTGTGCGTTAAGGAGGCAGCACGAGATGAGATGGCGCACGAGATGCGATGACGATGCAAGTGTCATTGCATTATAATGTTTTTGTTTGCCTATCCAGTTGAAGCCATTAGATGCTGCGCTGCTGCGTTGTTAATTACAAATATTGTGGGAAAAGAGAACATGAATGCGGAGAAGATCTTGTTTACGTCAAAACTGAAACCAAGCCGTTCACACAGAACACATATTTCACGCATTTTCTAGAAGGACATCTATCAGCATTGCACTTGCGTCTCGCACAAAAGAGCCGCATGTTTAGAAAGCCATGTAAAATTAATGCAAGTTTAACTTTGAAAAAACATATCTCGAGACTTTATGGCGGGGTTTTCTCCCCCATCCCACTGCAACTCGCTTAAGTATTGAAAGTAAAAGTACAAGTAAATGCAAAATGGAA